CACAGTGGGTGGGGAACCAGCAAATGCATGTAGCAAAATTTGAAAAACTAAACAATGGGATATGAGAGTGAGGGAAAAAGTGAGAGAGGGGCCCCTATTGAGTAATAAGAAATTAACAGTGATAGAGAACAGTCACAGGAAAGAATGAAGAGAAGAAAAAGATAAACACAGGGCAAAAACAGAAAATACAAGGAAGATAAAAAACAGAAAAGGAGATGGAAAGGGGAAAGGAGGGAAAACTCCAACTGCCCCCAAAAAACTAATGAAAGAAAAAATAATATAAAATGGGGGGGAGGATGATTGGGTGAAAGAAAAAATTCTTGTGCTATTCAGTAAGTGTTCACCTTCCAAAATCTTCCAGACATGATTTTCTACACCTAGCTTTAAGGACTATGAGTTTCTGAGGTGTCCTCCGTGCACCAGAGGTTCCTCTGTCCATTTTCCCCAGGCTGTTTTTGCCATCCAAGCCAAGGAGCGTCCTTGCTTCTGTTGGTACAAGGGGAATGTGACCAGCCCTTTGGTCTCCGCTGGATTTGGCCAGTGGCTGGACTTTGAGTGTTTGGCTTAAATGTCTACAGTTGTTGGGTCTGGTTGCTCTCTCCTCTCCTCAGTATTGTCCATAAGGACATAAGGGTTAGTTCTCACTTCTGCTTCTCTGCGCCACGAGAAGGTAACCTGCAGGGCATAGAGTCAGTGATGGTTGCACCTGTGCATCAGGGGTGCTGTGCATCAGTTGAGGACCTGCTTGCTCATGTGGGGAAAGAGCGCTGCTCCTCCCACCAGGGTCTCTTATTTTTGTGATTTTCTCAGAAGAAAAGTAAAAGACTTCCCATTTTTCCTTTCACTGTGAGGGTACTGGCCTCGTCCACAATCATGTCAGTCGGCTGGCAGGCTTCTCTGTGGCCCTGTGCAGGAGCAAACAAAATGCAGAGCAGGCCAGGAGCTGGCAGGGTCAGGGCCAGGATGTGGAATCCACTAAGTGCGGCTGCATTCCCGTCACGTGCAGCTGCTGGCACTCTGTGTTACGATTTCCATTTGATGATGAGGTGTCACTGTGCATCCCCAACTTTGCTGTTTATTGCATCAGACACCCGTCAGCTCTTGCTGGCAGCTCAGGCTGCATGATAGGTAACTCAGTAACCACGACTGTGTGTTCATTTTTTTAAGTAGACATTTGCAGTTCTTGGTTTCCAAGTCTCTTGGGGAGTAGTTACATGTGCATACTAGTTTCTTCTTCATTTTTAGTCCCCTTACCCTTTCCTCCCTGTCCCTCCTTCTTCCTCCAGTTCCCCATCTCATTTTTCATTCTTGTTGATATTAATCCTAGCTCATTTTATGATACATAATGTTTACATTAACTGATGATATTAGGTTCCTGTACCTGGCTACATGTTCCTTCTTTACTAAGGCCCAGTGGCAGGCCAAACTTTCTTAAAAGGAGGGTAGTGTTCTGCAGGGTGCATCAGGGTTTTGTTCATAAATTCTAAGGGACTATCCTGTGATTGACAGGAGAGCCTACAAAAGGCTCTAAACAGCATCTCTATCTGTTACTAGCATGTAAGGCACCCTTGGATCTGCTAGATGACATGCCCAAGTGGCAGAGTATCTTGCCTGCAGTAGCACAGCAGCCTGCATCTGTTGCAGAGACTTCTCTTGTTCTGGGCTCTACTCAAAACTAAAGGCTTTTCAGCCCACTTGGTAAATGAGGTGGAGTAACACACCAAAGATGGGAAGGATTACTTCCAAAATCCAAATAACGCCACTAGGGGTTTGGGGGTGTAGGCGAAACCAGATACAGTAACTTATCCATCAGCTTAGAAGGAACATCTCAATGTGGTCCATATTGCTAGGTCCCTAGAAACTTCACTGAGGTAGAAGCCACTTAAATTTGTCATATTCGTTTCCCATTGTCTGACATGACAATGTTTTATCAATAAGTCTAGAATGGTTGCTACTTCTTGGTTATTAGGTCCAAACGGCACAGTTCTATCAAGATAATGTATCAGTGTCATCTCTTGTAGGAGAGGTATCAAGATCATTGGAAACTAAATTATGACATAGGGCTGGATAGTTGATACCTCTGAGACAGGATGAGGTTATTGCTTCCCCTGTCACCTCAAAACAAATTGCTTGTGATGTTCTTTGTTAACAGAAATAAAGAAAAAGCATCTGTCAGATCTACAGCTGCATAGCAGATAACAAGGGGTGTGTTCATTTGCTCAAGTAAAGACACAAGTGATACAGCAGCTGAAAGTGGAGTCATCACCTAGTTAAACTATTTTGGTTTCCATCCAGAACGTAGCCCAAGGGCTTCATGCACTCACAGGTGGGGCTTTGAGAAGGTTACTGTCTTGGTTACTTTTCTCTCATTGCTGAGACAAAATACCTGATTCCCACAGTTAAGGAAGAAAAGGTTTATTTAGCTCACAGTTTGTGGAGGTTCCAGTACCTACTCGGCTGGCTCCAAGGCAGAGTGGCACATGGCAGAGGACAAACATTCATGGTGGCAGAAGATAGCAAGAGCAAAGCAGGGAGTGGCAGCGGGAACAAGCCTCTGTCCCTCCCTTATATTTTAAGCAGGCTACCCCTACCCAGGGGGCGTGTAGCACTCACACCATCTCCATGCCTTCCCCTTGTACAGGCTCAGGATGAACACAAAGCACGCACCCTGGCTCCCTGCTGAGTCACATAGTTAACCTTCTAAACTTCTCAATTTGACACAATGAACAACATCCCAGGAGGGTAAGGGCATGTTGCTTTCACCCCAGGACGCAGAACTGCTGAGTCACTCAGCCAAACCTCTAGACTCCCCAAGTTGACACAGTGTATCAACCATAACAACTACTGAATTTGTGCACAAGCCTTATCAGGGTGACTGGCTGACAGAAGACGGGATCTGGTTGGAGGAGGAAGACCCGGAGGGGTGGGGCCTGTCTGTGTCCCTTGCTGACTCACTTCTCTGCTTCCTGGACACTGTGATGTTGAACACCTTTCCTCCGCTCAGGCCCTCCTATCAGGTCTTTCTGCCTCGAGCCAGCTGACAGACTGTAGCCATCAGCCAAAAGAAACCTCTCCCCCTTTAATGTGCCGCTCTCCGGTGCTGCGTCTCAGTGAAGAGGAAGCAAGGAAGACGCAAGCTCAAAGCAATCTGTGGTTTTCTAAGATCAATCTGCCTTCTGCACAGACCAGAAAGGCAGCCCAGATGGAGACGACTGAGAATTCCCAGCTCGGTCCTTCAAGTCCTGGATGGCGGCGCTCATTTCCATAACCCTTCCAGAACGCAGTATTCCTTTCGGCTTACTCTTTTTCTAGGGAGAAGTAGTTACGGTGGCTTCTACTTGGCCACCATGGAAGCCACTCCCTCCACGAGTCAGAGAACGATTCACTACTGGGGATTCTGCCAACTACTGGGTGTGTCATTCCCAACTACGCCTTGTGGAGCCGGGGAGACAATCACAGGATGTGTTCAGGACTTTGTGTGTAACTCAGTCATCATAGTAACTAAATTTGGCAGTTCTAATTTTTGTCCTATTCAATAAACAAAGGACTGTGACCTTACGTGCGTGGGCAGAGCCAGGATGTGAGCCCACCCAGTCTGACTCTAGAGCCAGAACTCTAATACTTGCCTCTGCCTGCTCCTCTAGCTCATCTCTCTCTGCTCTCCCTCCTTGCACTTATTTAAGAAAGCCAGACACAGCTAACTACTTACTACTGACTGCTCGGACACAATGTAATCTCTTATGGCCCACTGATTTTATATCAGTCCCCTTACCCTACAAAAGCAACTGCATGCACTACCATTGTCACAAACCTCCCTTCAAACATTATCATTATGTGGAGCCTTACTTGACAGTATGTTCCTCCCAACACCCCTCGATTAAAAGCTTCACGGCTGTCCCACAGATCTACACATTTACCTCTACAAGGGTCTTATCCATGTGCATTACAGTAATAGCTCATTTCTTTTTACATGTTACTCTTGCATTAAACAATGAGCTTGAGGTTAGGTACCAGATCTCACTTATCTTTGTGGCTGCAATGTCTGGGATACGGCAGACATCAGTAAATGTTTACTGAATCAACGGATACAGAAGGAAAAAAGTCAGTAAGTACAAGAAAAAAATTCAACTCTGCTATCTTCACAAACCACCAGTATCAAATGCATAAAGTGTACTTTAACACAATACCTGCGCTGGAGAGACTGCAGGAAAATAAGCATCGCAGGACACAGTTTTCTATTCTACACCTAAAATTTCTTTGAATCCCATTTCGGGTTCTTTCCATTTCTGGTTTTTCACCAACACTGCTGATTAAACTGCTTTCTTGGGTGCTCATTTTTCTTTATTTTCACAGCTGAAATTTCCAAACTGATTAGAATATAGTTTAAATTATTTTTCATGTGCTAATAATTTCCTTACCATAGACTTCCTAGCGCTGATTTGGAAGTAACAGTTGAAGGGGTACAGAGGTAGGGGTAAAATTACTACACTGCAGAGCAGGAAACTGAGAACTATTAGAGGTCAATCTTCAAAGTCCCTCACCTCTTCTCCCAAAAGGGTAGCAGTTCCCCGGCCAGCTTTCTTCACTAAACCATCGTGCCCATCCCTCCTCCAGCCATGAATGACGCCCTTCTCTTCTTTTTCTTATCTCCAGACCGTCTCACCTTCTTTCTCCAGGGCTATACCCAGAAATCCAAACTTCCTTCTAGCCTATGAAGCAAATTAGTTCAGCGCTCTCTTTGCCTGGGAATCTAGTCTACCCTGGACATGTCTTTAAGATAACTAAAATGCTCTGTCAAATTTTTTTTTTTATAGTTTTGAGACAGGGTCTCACCATGCAGTTCAGGCTGGCCTCAAGCTCATTTTGTAGCCCAGGTTGGCCATGAACCTGCCTCAGCCTCCCAAGTTCTGGGATTACAGGCGTGTGCCACCATGCCCAGCTCAGTCAAATTTTTAAATGCCATGTGAGTTGACCATATTAACAAGACTTCAAAAACTTACACTGGGAGATCTTTTGGTTTTGGCTGTGATGCAACACTCAGAAACATAGTAGGCTCAATATTTCTTTGAAGAGGTTTTAACTGAAGAAAAATAAAAATGTAAGCATATTTTTAGCACTTTTTGGTTACAACTTAAACTAACATTACTTATCTTCCAGGATATGGCTAGCCCTGAAGCGACACATGTAAGAAAAGGAATGAAGAGAAGAACTAAATTTATTGGGTACTAAATATTTCCCAAGCATTTGTATCTTCAATTTTATTTAATCCTCTCAACCTGTGAAGTAGGTAACTGTGACTATTTTGCAGATGATGCTACAGATCAGTAGTTTAAGGTTACACAGTAGGTGTGAGAACCTGGATGTGAATGTAGGTTTTTCTGCCTTAAATGTGGTGCTCCTTTTACAGGATCGCAGTAAGTAAGTGGAGCACTATATCACGGAAAGGTTCACAGGCATAAAATTACGCTGAACTTTTTTTATATGTCCCATTTTTTTCCATGCGACACCTTTGCTCCTGGAGTTAGCTGAATCACCTACAGGAAACACTTGCCTAGTTTTATCTTTAAAAGATCTAGCTCCTTAAGAATGGCTATGTTTCCATGTTAGGTTTATATCTGGACACAGAACTTACCTGTGCAGTTAATGCTCATAAGCTATGACTGCCACAGAAAAAGGCAGAATATTTAGTGGGTCCCACAAGGTCTAATTCATTATAAGAAAATATACAGAAGAAAAAAAAAAAATCAAGGGCCAGGGGTATTGCTCAGCGGCACAGCGCCTACTTGGCAAGCGCAAGGTTCTGAGTTTGATTGCTGGTACCAAAAAAATCAAGGCAGAAAAGTGAAAAAAAAAAAGCTTGTTCCTTGCGCTTTCATCTGTGTATTACTTATTTCTGATCCAAAATGCGTTAAAATCAGTACACAGTAAAACTCTGGGTTGCAAAGAACTTCTTCCGCAAGGGCTCCACAAGATAAGTAAACATTCCTAATAATTTTTTTTTTTGGTACTGGGAATTGAACTCAGGACCTTGCGCTTGCCAGGCAAGTGCTTGTGCCACCGAGCTATATCCTTGGCCCCTGTAATAAATTTTAACTTGAAAATAAGGAGATGTCTTCCAATACAAGCAGTATGTGATGCCAAATGTCACATGATCAAACCTGAGCCAATGGTTCCTCTCCCCTCCTTCCCCTCCCCCCATCACTGTAGGACCGTGTGCGACTGCTTCCTATGCTTGGATGCTGAGTCTTAGGCTATATTATTTGGCAGAAATCAGTAATTTTTCCAACACTGGAGCCTACACCTGGCACTACTGTATTTTTGTTACTTCAAAGCACCTCTGGGCAGTAGTTTGCTTTTCCATACAAGAATTAGCTTATGAAGGCTCTGCTTCATCCTAGGTCAGGACGCAGATACAGACCCTTTCCTCTGCTGCCTTACCGCCTGTTACATCAGATACAGTATGTATAAAGTTTACTAACACTGTATTTACTGCAGTGAACATCCATGCCAGCATATATACAACGGCCTCCATATAAAAAAAGGTTGTAAAGAAAGGCGGTAAGAAGGAGATGATTACACTGGAAGTTAAGAAAATCATCAAGAGGTACCATCAGAAATTTCAAGATTTTATAAGAAGCCTACAACCCGTACAATACCGAAGGGCTGGATACAGCAAAAAGAGTCATGAGAGCACCAAAACAGCAGTCACATATTCTTGAAGATGCAGCAAAGTTGCTTCTGGTTTGGATAAATGAGAAGCAACTAGCAGGTGATACTGTGCCGGAGAACTTTGTCAGAGAGAAGGCAGAAGCCTCGTACACGGACACAGACTTCATAAATAAACCGCCAGGAATGTACAGGAAACAAGGAAGGCTGCAAGGCAAGCAGGGGATGACTTGGTAACTAAGAGGAGAGGTGGCATCATAATGTCACGAGGCACAGACAGGCTGTGAGTTCAGGCACCAGGGGAGCTGAGGGCTCGCCACTGAGTTCTAGCAGCTCACGGTTTCCAAAGCTTACCTGCCAGAGCAAGTTTTCAACCGTGAGGACATGGGGCTTTTTTGCTAAAGAGGCCTTCCGCTACAGAACAAGAGAATGCGAAGCCGGGTCACAAGGCCGTGAGAGACCTCCTCACCCTCCTGCGCTAAGACAAGCAGGGAGTTCAAAGTCAAGCCCCTGCTTGTGTATCTTTCCGAGAATCCGTGCGCCTGCAAGAAATGCAGAAGGGCCATAAACACCGTGAGGAGGTCCAGCTGCAAGGCTTGGGTCATTCGTATCGTGTTTGCTGAGTGGATCAACAAGGTCTTCAGTCCCTCAGTGAAGAAATAGCTTTTAGAAAAGCATCCGCCATGCAAAGCCTTGCTGATCATGGCTAACTCCCCTGCTCAACCTTCAGGCTTGGAGGATGACTTATTGGAGGAATTCACGTTCATTAAGGTCAAGTTCCTTTCTCCCCACACCACTCCAGTCCTCAGCCCAGGGATCAGCAGGTCATTTTGAACTTTCAAAAGCTTCACACCAAGCAGTATTTCACTGATGCTTTGAGGTGACCGAAGAAACAAACCCTACCCTCTGAGAGTGTTGGCAATGTCATTTCCACGTCGTGAACTGCCCCAAGATCGTCAATAAAGCCTGGAATGGGGTCACCAAGAGAGCCCTCAGTTCTGTCTGGAGGAAATGATGGCGTGATTGCATTCTTGGACATGACTTAAAGAAGCCTGCTCATAAACAGGAGCCGCTAGTGGTCAGTGAAACTGTGCACTGGGTGAAGACCATGGAACCTGAGGGGGACGAGGACAACCTTCAAGAGCCGGTGGAGGAACACGGCCAGGAGCTGACCACCAATAAACTGATAAGTCTGCATCACAAGCAACAGCAAGAGGCTATGGAGGAGATCTCGTCCGCAGACGAGGAGAAAAATGTGGAGGAATCTACTCGAAACGAGATTTAGAGAGCTGTGTAAAATGTGGGAAACAGTGCAAAATTTTGCAGAAAAGCATCACCTGAATAAGGCCATAGCAGTGTGAGCAATGAATGTTTTAACAAGCATGCATCTGCATTTCCGTGAAACCCTCCAAAGGAGGCAGAAGCAAGGTTCGCCAAGTAAGTTAAGTTCCCTTTTAAAGCTGCACGGAAAAATGAAAGACTCCATTGAGTCAAGAGATAGCAGTGATTCCTTCCGTGATTCTACGCCATAACCTTCCTCTCTCTCTCTCCCTCACACTGCCACAAAGTTTTCAAAGCTAATGACGGCCAATTTTCTTTATATTTTCAATTTTCTTTATTATATTATGTTACATTAGTGTAATAATTTTTATAGGAATTTTTTGGGGTTGTTGAATGAACTGAGTTTCCACTATTTCTTATGGGGAAATTTGCTTTGATATAAAAAGTGCTTTAGATGACAAGCATGTTTCTGGAGTGAATTACACTCACAAACTAAGGTTTCACTGCACCATACGCCAAGGAAGGGAGGGGATGGGAATGGGGAGAAGGAGGAATTAAAATACACCATGAACAGGTACAAATTCCCTATGTGATCATTATATATATCTAAATTGTACCAACAAACAATTAAAAATACTACAGGAATGTCTCAGTTAACACAACAGTAGATTTATTCTAATAAAACTAATGCCCCTATCCTCAACTACTCATTTAAAAACACCCTAGGACTATTAAGAAAAATAGCAAAAATCTAAAGTGGAAGGTTATATACAAGTGTTGAGACTATTTTCCCTATACTGTAGCAGTACTAATGGAGCTAAATTTTTAAATGTCCCAAAGTAATAATACCCAGGGATATGAGAGTTATCTCAACCACTTGATGAGAGTATTGTTTGGTACAATTCTCTAGAACAAATCCCTGAGAAGATCACTGTTCTGGACAGTAATTTCTTTTTTAGAAATCTAGCCTAAGGATATGATGAAAAGAGCAGAGATTAGTACACAAAAACACTTAAGGATATCAAGAATATACAGTCGTAGTAAAACAAAGCAGCGAACAACAGCTATGCCTATAACTTAGAGTATACTACTGTCTTGATAAATCACAGCAGGTTCAAATGACATATTAAAAATAATCATGTGGGAAAGGTCAAAGTACAAGTATCTAAATAGCATCTAGGATTACACTTTTACTAAGTACTTTTAAATGTAAAAATCCACTTACATTTTGAATACCTAAAATAATTTTTAGTTACATAAATATGTGTACACACAACATAAAGATAACATTTTGAATGAAAGATCATCATGTAAAAATGTACAAATTAAGTAACGGTAAAAGTCTCATTCTTCGGGGTGAAGGAAACATCACATGCTTTAAGGTTAGAAGGTGCAGTGGCATTCTTTTAAGAACACTTATTTTGAAGGATTTACCAAACTGCAAAAAACAGCTCAAAATAGAATGATGTGGTTGAAAAGCTAAAATTGAGTAATTTTTTAAAAAGAACTTACCTGATGTGAAAATCCATAACCAAAGGATCCATACGCAAACATAAATTCCACGTCCAACCTGCAGACACACTAAATATAGGGTAAACTTACTTTATTGTTTGATCAGAATGAAATTTTACTGGAGCAGTGATAGCAAGAGCTATTTTTACTTCCCAAATCTCTATGTTAGAATGCCTAAATATGAATCTAAATATCCTCACTGAAAAGAAGGAGAAGGAGAAAGAGAAGGAGAAGGAGGAGGAGGAGGAAGAGGAGGAGGAGGAAGAAGAAGAGAAGGAGGAAGAAAAGGAAGAGGAGGAGGAGGAAGAGGAAGAGAAGGAGGAGGAAGAAGAAGAAGAGGAAGAGAAGGAAGAGGAGGAGGAGGAGGAGGAGAAGAAGAAGCATTTACACAAGGAGCTCCTATTATAGAAGAATCTACTCAGTTTCTGAAATGTTAAAAGCTTTTGTGTTAAAGTTAAGTAATATTATATGATTAAAATACAGAAAATGTGAAAACAACTGTTAATACGGTTACTCTGGGACACTGACATATATACATACATATTCATATACATGTGTATACATTTTTTAAATCACTTACTCACATTCTTCTCACCTCCACTTTTATTTTCGGGTAATATTTTGATTTAGACAAGCGATTTCACCTCTCTAAACCCCAGGCTGCTTATGTGTGAAATGAAGGAGGATGCTGGAGATAATGACCGCATGTTCCTTGCCCCTATTCGGGCCATGAGACAGCAGAAGTCTCTCCAAATAGAAAATCAACAGATCAAGTTAACTTTTAAGCATTTAAGAAGGAACAGAATTGTGAACAACCCTTCAGAAATTCCCCAGTGGGAGAAGTAATGCTCCCTGAATTTAGCGGTCACGCACCCACTGGACCCCACACAGCTTCCAAGGCTATGCAGCCAAAGCAGCAGCACGAGGCACTGTACTCTCTCACCCAGTGATTTCCAATGTTCTCTTTCACAGTTTAGCAGGAAGACAGCAGATAGTTTGCTTTGCTTTGTTTTGGTTTGGTTTGATTTGGTTTATTGAGACAGGGTCTCATTGTGTAGTTCTGGCTGGCCTTAAATTCAGTAGGTAGCCCAGGCTGGCCTCAAACTCACACCCATCCTCCTGCCTCAGCCTCCCCAGTACTGGGATTACAGGTGTACACCCCAGCCAGATAGCAGATTTTTTAAAAAGACTGGGTGAGCAAACTACTTTCTATTTAATCCATTTTTACTAAATCAAACAGTAAGTGTTAAGTAACAAAGAACATGTAGACTATAAACAGTACCAGAGTAAAGTTCAATGAAATGTTAGGAAATTATCACATGTGCACAAAAGTTAGGAAATTGCAGTAAAGTTCTTACTGTGTTTTCATTCAACATCTGTAATTCTTCAGTAAAACACATTTTCTAGAAAAAAATAAATAAAATATTTAAATATAAAATTACTCATGTATTTATCTGTATATTATTTAAACCATGTAACAGTAAAAAAAAAAAATCAAGTACTGATTTTTCAAATCCATAGATATATCAAATAGCTAAAATACAAACAATGAATGCTCAGAAGATGAAAAACATTCCAAACATAAGTAACAGAAACAAATGTTAACATTTGCATTCAGGTTTTAGATGAAAAGAATTTCACCAGTTAGAATTCCTTCCCCCTTTGGAAGTCTCAGAGCAACTGCCTTGTTGTTACTGGTTTTTTTTTGAAGCTACTCTCTTTAAGGGTTCATATAAACATAAATTTACATATTTACATGATAAACTGACCCCGGCAGCACTGAGTACCTCCTTCATCCTCGGGACTTCTGAGACCTATTAAAACATTAACCCTCTGGAAACCTTGGTGACCATCGGTGGTTGGCTCTGCTGTCCTGAGTTATCCTACCCAACCCAGTACCCCAGGAATCCCTTTCTTCCTGGCATTTCACAGCACTCCCAGTTGCACCGTTAACGATCTGTCACTCTGTTTCACTAAACTTCCTTCCCACCTTTCTGCTTTCCCGAGACCTGACTTCTACACAGCGCCTCATTACTTCCAAATCCTATTTTTTCATGTGGACTTAAGAAAGATTTCCTTTTTTTTCTCTTTGAGACAGGGTCTCACTATGCAGTTCAGACTGGCCTTGAGCTCACTTTGTAGCCCAGGCTGGTCCTGAACTCAGAAGGATCCTCCTGCCTCAGCCTCCCGAGTGCTGGGATTACAGGCGTGCACCACCATGTCTGACAAGATTTCCTCTTTTAAACTTCACGCTATCTGGTAATTCTATTATTTTTCAGACACGTGAGTCATTAATCCTCATTTAGTGAGAACTTCGTACCCTAAGCACACGAATTTGAAGGCAGAAAGTAAACAGCAGGAGCCCGTCGGGTTTGCTGTGAAGTGCAGCGAACACCAACTGGACAACGTGTGCCAAGGTGGGAGGCACTGTCTCTGCACCTACCTGAATGACTTCGTAAAGATGCACCGTGGCGCTTCCCAGGAGGAGCAGGTAATCGTCTGTGTCACTATACTGCACTAGTTCCAAGGAAATATTATTCCACGTGTCATCCTGATGTCTGGGAACCTCAACACGAAAGTATTGGTAAAAAGCAGCATTAAATTTTCGGTCTGAATTTCAGATAAAACGTCCAAATGCGTCCAGAAGCTACGTTATACGCATAACTAATTAGCAGGTTTTGTACGTCGCTGACTTCACAAGTTTTCAACTTCACGGTCGCATACAGCTTCAACCTCACAGCTCCATTCACCTTAATATCAATAAAAATCAAGATCTTGTTTGTCTACTGTTAATTATGACTTTTTTTTGTTTTTGTCTTTTTGAGACAGGGTCTTGCCGTGCAGTTCAGGCTGGCCTTAAGCTCACTCTGTAGTCCAGGCTGGCCTTGAACTCGCAACGATCCTCCTGCCTCAGCCTCCTGAGTACTGGGTTAATAGGCGTGCACCACCACATCCATCTTAATTACAACTTTTTAAAAATCATCCATTGCCTCTCTCTCCTCTCTCTCTCTCTCCAGTACTGGGCTCAAACACATGGTCTTGCATACAGTAGGCTACATTCTCTTTTCAACTCTACAAAAAATTCACTCTCAGACTCTACTGAAACCACTCTCAAAAAAAATAATCTAACATAAAAACCAAATAATCCAGGTAATCCAAACACAGATTAGCCACAGTATCTAGTAGTAAAGAGTATCTAATAACTTTTCCAGTCTCTTTTTAATTTTTTGATAAAATGAATTTTATTATCTAAACTTGAAACTTTCTCCCAACTTTGTGCAATGCAGCACAGTATCATTATTATATAATACTCAAAACTTATGCACACTTTTGCTATTTAGAATCAAATTTCATTCCTCCCCCTTCCTATTTTTTTTTTTTTTTTTTTTTTTTTGATACTGGAAATCAAACTCAGGCCTTGTACTTGCCAGGAAGGCGCTTGTGCTACTGAGCTAAATCCCTGGCCAAGATATCAGCAAAAGTTATAAAACACAGAAAAAGCTCTGTAAGACACTGGAGGATGGCCTCACATGTTCATGGCTTGGAATGGTTAATATTGTTAAAATGTCCAATTTTCCAAAAGAGTTTTACAGATCCAATGCAATTCCTGCTAAAATACCAATGACATTCTTCACAGAACTAGAAAAAAATAATTCTAAAATTCACATGGAAGCACAAAAGACCTGGAAAGACAAAACAATCCTGAGGACACAGAACATTGCTGGAGTCATGACAATCCCTAATTTCAAAATTACTACAAAGCCCTTGTAATAAAAACAGCATGAACCTGGCACAAAAACAAGACGCACAGACTGAAGGAATACAACAGAAAACTCGGGAAGAAACCCACATGTCTACAACCATCGGATTCTTGACAAAGGAGTCAAAACCACATTAGAGAACGCAGCCTCTTCAACAAATGGTAATGGGAGAACTAAACATCTACCTGTAGGAGTCTGAAACCAGATCTGAAACCTAGATTTCTGCCTTTTACCCTGTACAAAAATCAACTTAAAATTGATCGAAAACCTTACTGTTAGACCTCAAATTTGGGAACCAGTAGAGGAAAACATAGAAGGAACACTTTACGATATTGATGCCAATGATTCCCTGAACAGGATGCCAACAGCTCAGGAAACAGCAGCAAGAACTGACAAATGGGACTGCACCAAATTAAAAAGCTTGTGCATAAGCCAGACATGGTGACACGTGCCTGTAATCCCAGCACCCGGCAGGCTGAGGCAGAAAGATCACAGCGAGTTCAATTCCAGCCTGGGCTACAAAGTGAGTTCAAGGCCAGCCTGAATATTATAGTGAAATCCTCTCTCAAAAAGACAAAAATAAAAAATTATTACAGTTCAACAACAAAAACAAAACAACCTATAAAAAGCTTCTGCATAGCAAAGGAAGCAATCAACAAAGTGAAGAGACAGCCTATAGGACAAAATCTTTGCCAGGCGTTCATCTGACAGAGGATTAATATCCAAAATAAAAAACTCCAGAAAAAAATTCAACACCAAAGAAAAAGTAATCCAATCAATAAATGGACAAATGAACTGAACAGATACTTCTGAAAAGAACAAATGACCAATAAATATATGAACAAACCTTCAACATCTCTAGCCACCTGGGAAATGCAAATCAAAGCTACATTAAAATTCCATCTCAGCCAGGCGTGGTGGCACATGCCTGTATCCCAGCACTCAGGAGGCTGAGGCAGGAGGATCGCTGTGAGTTCGAGGCCAACCTGGGCTACAAAGTGAGCTCAAGGCCAGCCTGAACTGCATAGTGAGACCCTGTCTCAAAAAGACAGAAAAGGGAAGGGAAGGGAAGGGAACAGAAGGGAAGGCAAGGGAAGGGAAGGAAATTCCATCTCACTCCAGTCAGGATGGCTATTATCAAAAACAACAACATAAAAAAAAAAAAAAGTGCTGGCAAAGATGCAGGGAAAAAGAAACCCTTATATACTGCTGGTGGGAACGTCAATTAGTACAGCCTCTAACGAAAATTGTATGGAGGTTCTGAAAAACGTAACAATAGAACTAAACATAGAAAGCTACACTTCTTGGTCTGTATTGAAGGAATTATAGTCAACAGGTCGAGATGCCTGCTTGTCCATGCTTGTTGCAGCAAATTCACAACAGCCAAGCCATGGAATCAGCAGTGGTGGCAAACCTATGCCAGAGCAGGCTGTTATCACTGAAAGCACTGAAAGGTTCACCATTACTGGCCTAAATGCCCAATGGATGGAAGGATAAGGAAGTGTAGTATATGTACATAATGGAGTGTTAGCCACAAAGAACAAAAAAATCATGTCACTTGCAGGAAAATAGATGGAACTGGAGATCACTGTGTAGAGTGAAATAATTCAGACTCTTAAAGACAAGTATAGCATGTTTTCTTTCATAACTGGAATCTGCAGGAGAGTAAATAAGAGGAGAAGGATGTTGATGATAGAAATGGAAGGGGAGGGGGATGAAGAGAATAGGAGGAGCAGCAGGGATTTGTTAAAAGCACATTATATGCACATACAAAAGTATCACAGGGTTGAGGATACAGCTCAGCAGCAAGGCTCCTGCCTGGCAACCACAAGGTCTTGAGTTCAATTCCCAGTACCAAAAAAAATCATAATGAAACCCATATTTTCTACCATACTTACTACTAATAATAAAAATTTCTTTTGCACAATTTTCTATGTAGTCATTACTAAGGCATCTCTAAACTTTCTATTAGTGTTCAATTAAAATTCTGCTTTTAATGCATTCAAACTAATAGTTTATGTTTAAATAACTATACCAAGATTTTTACTGTTAATGAAAATATGTACCTATTAGTTTATATCACCTCCAAGTTTTAAGGTTTCATGCCAAGTCCTATTTGAAAGGACAGATATCACCCAAGGTTTTGAGAGCCTACCAATGAAGCTTAGCCAAACTATTTGCAAAGTAAAACAAAAAACGAAACAGTATAAGTTACCTCTACCAAAACTATGCCTTGTTTTTATTTTTGCTCACTTAACCCATGCTTAAAGACCTGCCTTTCATACTCAACACTTACATAAAGTTGTAAAAACATTTGGAGCATAGAGGAAATGCTTTAGGATTTCATTAAAATTGAAATGTAGCAAAAACTATTAAGAAAAAGAAAAAAAAAAAAACTATTAAGAAATAGTTGGACTAATCAATGAGGCCTGCAACTCTAGGGAACTTAAAGAATGCTTTGAGATAAGGTTCTGTCTTCCCCACGTTGCTACATTCCAGCGTTTGGACGGTAGCGCTTGGGGAGGTTCTTTCTCTGCTGCTTGGCACCCCACCATCTTGCCCCTCTCGAGATAAGATTCTAATAAGCTCAAACACGGGAAGCTCGTGACAGGAAAGGCTGTTCAATGAAACGTGACCTGAAGCCGACCACCCACATTGTCACCTCCACCACATACTAACTCTATGACGGTAGTGAAGCTCTTTCACTACACAATACCTCAGTTTCCTCATCTGTAAGATAAGGATAACAATAAGAGAATGACATATACAGTTAGATATATGTCTTTGGGGGTTATCAGTCTATGTAAAAATAAGTTCAGTCTACATAAGACAGAGTCTATGTAATACACAGGAAGAGAAAAGGAAACATTAAGATAAAAAAAGTGAAAGATGTAGATGAAAAAGAAAAATCAAGATAGAGAAAAATATATGCATGATAAACACAACCACAGACAGGAACATCTCAGGAAAGACATTTACTAAGATTATATATTTTCTAATAAGTAGTTTACTAAAAAATAATTAAACTGCTATAGCCCATAGAATAGAAATATACAATAGCAAATAAAAACACACTACTTTTTTCCTACTCATAAAAAAATACATGGATAAAAAAGATGTGATATTTTTATACAATGGAGTATTACTCAGCTATGAAGAAAGATAAACTCAAGGCTTTTGTAGGTAAATGGATGCAACTAGAGACCATACTCCTAAATGAAATAAATCAGACCCACATGTGTAAACATCATATTGTGTCCCTAGTGTAAGAACCTGAAAGAGTAAAGAAAATCCAAAAGGTACAATAGATATTGTGAAAGGGAAAGAAACTGCTCAAAAGGAAAGAACAACTAGGATGAGGGAAAGGAGAAAAGAAAGAAGGGGGAAAAGAAAAAAATATATATATACACATACATATACACAAGATAGCTAAGATAATAGTACTACTGATTTCTACTGGTTTACTGAAAAGAACAGTTAATGCTTAAATTTTTTGGACCAATTTTACATGCTTATACCCGGTAATCTGAACACTACTTTGAAGACTACAATATGCAACATAATAACCACTGTTGAATTCCTATCATCTTGTATTTTGCAATTCTGTATCGTTTTTAGTGTTTTTAAATTATGTTATTCTCTTTAAAATAAAAATAAGTAAAAATAAATAATAATGACGATAGAATATTTGAAACTTAAAGAGAGATTATGCTATCTAGAATAGAATGTTAACATTACCTGTATGGAAAAGAACTTCATTTCATCAAATTTAATTACAATGTTCTTGTCACTGTTTCCAGAGAGCAGGTTAAAACTTTTTGTATATTTCACAAAGTTGTTTACAGAAATTCGAATGTACAAGTTTTTGTAATGCTTTAAACAGACTGAAAGCAGAATGTTTAGGAAACAAATTTTGCTGTAATTGAATAAAGAACACAGTATAAAATTAATCCATTAAACAATTTAGGCCAAGATCTAAAATCAATCAAGTAGATATAGAAGATAGTTATAGTTTATTAAACAACACAATAAAGGTCTTTTAAAATAATACTTTATCTGTAGCCATATGTAAGTAGCAACAGGTTCTTCTTATTTGGATTATTTATTCTATTTTTATTCTTCACACTTCAATCATAACTCCTTAGCAAATTTTCTATACATTAATTTTAAGGTGATTGTATATAATATAGAAACTCAAAATAAAAATGTCACTTGAGAATACTTTAAGACAATGGAATTCAGAGCAAAGAGTTCTATTCTCTATTTTACTTCACTATGTATTTCGTTGTTACTATATTGACCTGTATCATCATCTTTCACAGCATTAAAATTACTGTTTTCACAATTTAATTATCTTCAAAAATATCTATATAAAATTTTTTGGAAAGAAACACCAAGTCACCATAGTGAGACTGGTTTCCTACCATAAGTCTAAACATGGCCTTCAGCTTATTTAAGACACCAATATAAAATAAAAGCTTTAAAAATATTTAAATCTTTAAAGTGTTACTTACAAGTAAATTGGTATTACATCCAAAAAGACTCATATTTTTGCCTTTAACTTACAGGAGGGAAGTAAATTTAAAATAGTCAAACATCTTTTGTCAATTTCACACCAAAAAGTGATGTTTCTTTTCCCAAACCCTTGAATCTGTGCTGGCCTTGTGATTAACCCATAAAATGCAACACACATGACTAAAACCGGGACCAGGATGGGTGACAGAGACACTCACCCAGGGTGCAAAATTTAAGGGGACGTTAAAAGGTCAGTAATCATGATAAAAGTATACAATATTAACATCATATATACTTTCAAAATCAAGGTCCATGCATTAAAAAAAAACATGATGGAATTACATGGGAAGTATTAAAGTTCCCACCACTTTGGCATCTCAGCTCATTCAGACCGTTAAGTATCCCCTATAAAATGTCAGACACAGGGCTGGGGATATAGCGCAGTGGCATAAGCGCCTGCCTGGCAAGCACAAGGTCCTGAGTTCAATTCCCAGTACCTAAAATAAAATAAAATGTCAGACACATGAAGGAGCCATACTCCAGACTTTTGAACTGCCAGACAACTGCACCCCGACCTGTGATATTGTGAAGCCTAAGAACCACCAAACAGATGCACAGATAATAAAATGGTTAACCTTTGAGGTCACTAAGTTCTAGGGTGGTCTCTAAGGCAGCAATGGATAACGAACGAGGGAGACACGACAATACCATGATTTATAAACCCGAAGAAAGGATACTGAAAGGCAAAAACTGTCTGCAGTTCTTTATATGAACAGCCAGGCAGCCAACCTACAATGATAAAAACAGAAACACAGAGAGTGAATGCATTTTTTCACAAGTTAACTTTTCTTCCACTTTACAATGAAATATATTTAATTTTTTAAAAATCCTCCATTTTGTTGTATTTTCTCATTAGAAATAGCTTCTCATTTAAAATATCAGGTTAATGGGAAGCATCAGAAAGCAAAAACTAGGGCCAGGGATGTAGCTCAGGGGCACAAGCATCTGCCTGAGGTCCTGAGCTCGACTCTTGGTACCAAAGAAAAACCACAAACAGAAAGCAAAGATATGAAAGAAAAAAGGGGAGGGTGAATTCAAAGTAAACCTAAAATAAATAATAATACAAGCAAGAGAATAGTTCATTATTCACTTAACTCTGATCATCACCATTTGAATTGTTTTTATTTTGTATTAGATGAAAACTGATAAAATGTAACATTATGGACAAGAAAATAGATACATCTGGTTTCAGTTAAGCCCTTATCCCTTATCCTGAAACCATTTCTTTCACTCAACACTCAGTCACTGGCATTGGCGACAATGTGCCAGGGGCTGCGACATGTTCACTCTCACAGGTTTTTCTAGCTATTACAGAAAATTACACTTTGTGCTTAACCATAAAATCAAACACAAAAGTTAACACAAACACTTTGACTTTTTGTCTTTTGCTTTTTGAGAAAGGGTCTCACTATGTAGTTCAGGTGGCCCTTGAACTCACTATGTACCCTAGGCTGGCCTCAAACTCACAGCGATCCACCTGCCTCGGCTTCCTGAGTGCTGGGATTACAGGTGTGCACCACCACGCCCTGTTTAAATGCTTAGATTCAATGTGAACCACTAATTAAAATATAGTTTATTTTTTATTCTTAAAAGCCAACTCAAATTAGCAGAGCTAGTACTATTAAAGACTGTACACAGTAGGAGTTAAAGAACTGTCCTAATAGTGTAGTAAAAGAATAATGCTAAAGATAACTGTAAAACAATGCCATGTAAAATGGTTAATCTTGATTGTTAATCTGACTGGGTTAAAATAATGCCTAGGGGATATGAGGGAGATCTGGCTGTGACATCTGTCACCCCATGGGTCACCAGGGTTGAGTCGGCTGATCTGGCTGGCTAGGCAGGTGTCCCTTCCTCCCTCAACGCTCCAGAAGCTGTGCACTCGGTCGAAGAGGACAATCACCCCCAATGGAGGAGGACCGTCCCTCGGTCAGGGGTACACAAGTAGCTGCGCTCCCCTGCTAGAACCTCCAAACAAGCTCTCAAGGTCCAAAATAATGCCTAGGAAATGAGAAGCACACTTCTGGGGGTATCTGAGGATGTTCCAGACATGCCTGGCACGTAGGACAGTAAACTGCCTGGTGGTACTGTCCGACAGGCTGTACCTGACCATGGCGGAGCTGTCCAGTAGGCTGGGCGCAGAAGGAGCAAAATCAGGAGGAGGAAGCCGGCCAGCACTGGCCCTTTCCCTCTACTTCCTGGCTGTGGGGAGCAACTCTGCCTCACTGTGCCTCCTTCTGCCATAATGTTCTGCCATTCTGCAGGCCCAAAGCTCCACAATAGAGCCAACCGACTATGGACTTGAAACTGTGAACTGAAATAAACCTTCCCAGGCCAGGGATGTAGCTCAGCAGCACAGCGCCTGGCTGGCAAGTGCACGGTCCTGAGTTCAATTCCCAGTACCAATAAATAAATAAATAAATAAATAAATACACCTGTCCTCCATCAAGCTGTTATTCTCAGGTTCTTTGTCAAAGCAACAGAAAGTTACAGTATCATGATATTTGACAATTCTAAATATGTATAGATTCGCATGCCCTATTAAAGCACCCAAAATAGAATACATTTTTCTGGCTCTCAGCCTAGATATGTGGTCCTGTGTGTGTGGTGTGTGCCTGTGCTTGTGTACGTGCACCACAGGATGTGTATGTTTGCTTCTGTTTCTGTGGGAGACTTCTTTGAATGGGAGTCGACACCCGAGTACATTTTCAAACTGTAAATCAATGTCATTGAATAACATCTGAAGAGTTCCATAAATTACTGATTCCCAGGCTCCTCTTTTGGACGGTGAAAGTTAGCAGCTCTTAGGTGGGGCTCAAAATATATGCAAGTATCCCAGATACTTGAATTTAGTAATTTCTAGCTGTACAACTAGGGAATCTCTAATTTTAAAACTGTGAAAGCTGGGTGTAGTGGCACACACCTGTAATCCCCAGAAGGCTGAGGCAAGAGGGTTGTTGTGAGTTCAAGACCAGCCTGGGCTATAAAGTGAGCCTAAGGCCAGCCTGAACTGCAAAGTGAGACCCTGTCTCAAAAAAAGACCAAAAAAATAAAACTGTGAAGTAAGGTGTTTTCCACAAGTTCAGGATTATAATGTTTTCCTGACTCACCCAAAATGGAAAAACTCATGAATGTTATCAAAAAGCCATTTTATATACTACTTTTTGATTGCCAAGTAATAAATAGCAACTCTGCTTTGTAACAAACCCTATACAATTTTACAAGTTTATTGAGAGTTAGTCATACATACCACATCCCCAAATGGAATCAAAGCTGCTTTCTCACGTGCTGCATCCCGTTCTTTATTCTCAGACTCCATAAGAGTTTTTCTCATCATCTACAATGTAAATAAATGAATTTAAGACCTAAGTCAAGAATGGTGGCACACACCTATAATTCCAACACTCTGGGAGGCTGAGGCAGGAGGATTGAAAGTTTGAGCCCAGATTTGACAGCTTAAATGACTTAGCAAGACCATACACACACACAGACACAGAACATAACTAGATAAAAGCTTAATTCAATCAATGATTATTTGGTGACTACCTAGCAATTATCAGGACTACAGGCAGCTGGATATAAATATGAAGAAGAAACTCAACCCTATCTCCAATAAATTTATCAATAATTAAGTGGAGAAACAACAAAGTTTACAATTAAAAAACAGGGAATCAGGAAAGGCAAGAAAAGTGTATCAATGTGAAAAACCATTCAGTTTGTTAATAAATTCAACATACAGCAAAATATATTAAAAATATATACAGAGAGAAGAAACAGAAACTCTATGGAAGAGCAGAAACAAGTAGGGCATGAAGAAATCAAAGAGAAAATCACCCTGACTGCTGGGTGTGGTGGTACACTCCTGCAATCCCAGAACTTCGGAGGCTGAGGTAGGAGGCTTGCCGTGAGTTTGAAGCCTGAACTACACAGTGAGACCTTGTCTCAAAAAACAAACAAAATCTCATCCTGAAAAAGAAAAGTCAACAAAAGTGCAAAAATTCTAACCATAGGTCTGGGACTTGGTGAAGCAACATCTACAGAGGAAAAGGACTAGTTGTTTCCTCAAAACAAGTGTGAGAAAGGATGTTAGAGGGGAAATTAAGGTAAGGAGAAAGAGAAAAAGAGAGAGAGATCTACAGGTTATGCTCATCCTATCTCTTCACCTCTCATTGAGTTCATCCATTTAAAGAAACTGCACTTAAAGGCTGGGTGTGGTGGTGTATGCCTATAATCCCAGCATTCAGGAGGCTGAGGCAGGATAATCTTTGCAAGTTTAAGACCAACCTGGGCTACAAAGTGAGCTCAAGGCCAGCCTGAACTGCAGAGCAAGACCCTCTCAAAAAGACAAAAAGAAAGAAAGAAAGAAAGAAACTGCACTTAAAAATACTAACAATAAAAGTAAATTACAACATAAAATTTTAAATTGAATTAAACAACTTCAAATAAGCAGTGGAAGTTTGTTTTAAAACCTATAACCACAAATTCAATGATAAACTAGAAAGAAAAGAGAAACAAGTTTTGACCAACTCAGGAAAGACAAAACCATCTCAGAAATAAAGACTAAATTACAAGGTTCCCAAGTAGCATTAATTCAAATGAAAATTAATAAGGGCCATTTAAAAATATAGGAAGCCAATTAAGACAATGAAATGAGATAAAGAACTAACACAGGGCCAGAGAAAAACAGGTTCAGTACGAAGATAGGTAAATAACAAATCCTTCCAAAGTAAAAAAATAAACACACTTAATATTTAAAATTATAATCCAAGAAAATGTTAGGCAATGAAAAAACTCTATATATTGATACAATACACTACGTATCTTGAAAATGGACACAAAATGATCAATTCCAAAATATGTCCAAGTAAAATTCTAGACTCTAGGACAACATTTTGCAACCAAGTAAAATAGCAAAGTTAGTTGTACAGGTAAGCACTAAAATGAGTTTCAGATTCTTTTGAGAGTTCCACATCACAACAATAAAGCAGCATTTTCATGAAATTCAGAGAAAGGTTAAGCAAAGGAATTTTATCCAGCCAAGCAGCCTTCAAATACCAATTCTATAAAAAAAAAAATAGTATGAAACAGGCAACAACTCAGGGAATATTTTATTCAGATTAACAAGAGTGGGCTGGATCTTGCAACAGAGGCAAAGGCTGAGAATAAGCCATGCCCAGAGTGTGTAGTGAAAAGTATTCACTAACTAGAGAGCTCTCCATATTAGCAAAGAAGACTTTCCAATACAATTGACCCCCAAAGGTCAGCAGAAGCGCACACACACACACACACACACACACACACACACACAGAGAATCCTGCGAAGTCAAGGCAACAAAATTTCCAACCCCCTCAAAGCTGATCCACGGTGCATCAATAGGGAAGAAATCAAAAGACACATAGCTGAATTATTCAAAATGTGAAGGGGAGATTTTAAAAGTAGATCAATAAATTCACAGACAATATCACTAAACAGAAAATAGACTTAATAATATAGAACATAAATGAGCAGTTTAGCAAATGGGTATCTGTGAAAAGACAGAATAAAAATCTACAGGATAAAAATTCTATTGAAAGCACAGGCCACAGATGTGTCCAAAGTGAGAACAAAGTATATTTAGATTTATGAACAGTTTATCAATAATTCTCTAAATTTTAATGTGGAAATCTTACAAATACCCCCTTGCTGGTATTTATTATGCATTTACAACTTCTGTATCACAAATTGGCTAATTATAATTTTTTATAGCATTTTAATGTTTTGCTTAGGGAACTGTAAAATGATGACAACTGGTCTTCTAAATCAATGCCTTTCTTTGCATTACTGTGATTAGAAGTAGTAGTACAAGCTGCCTGATGGGACAGTCATGCATGTACCACTGGTGGTTCAAGCTGGCAGGAATGACTGAATTCAAATCAGAGCCACCCAGCAGCAAGATATACAAATTACGGCCCAGTCATGAACGAGTTAAAAATACAATTGAAAATAATGGGCAGCTGAGATAACCAAAGTGAGGACAGAGTGTCAGATATGCAAGACAGGGGTATGGTTAGTGTTCAGCAAATTACAGATACCTTAAAAACAAGAGAACATGAAAAATGGATCCAACAGCTGCTAGATGACTCAAACAAGACTAACATTAAGAGTAACTGGAATAACAGAAAAATCAGAAGACAGCACAAAGGGCATAAAAAACTATTTACAGAGGTAATAGCAGAAAACTTTCCAGACATGACAAAATAACATACAATATGTGAGGCATATAGAATTCCAAATAGCTATGCTCAGAAAAAAAAACACTCCATGCCACATCAAAACTAAAATATCACAAATCCAACACAAGAACAGAATCTTAATGGCTACTAAAGACAAGCAACAAATCACTGACAAAGGAAAACTTATCAGAATTACAATATACTTCTCAACACAAATCTTAAAGCAAGCAAGGAGAGCTTGGATGAAGTGTTTCAAGTCCTAAAATAAAATAACTTCCAATCCAGACGCATGTATCCTGGAAATTTATCTTTCAAAATTGATGAAGAAATAAGATACATTCATGATAAGGAATATTAAGTAACACTACTCAGACTAATTTTTGAAAGTATAATAATCAAAATTTATTTCATTCAACAAAGAAATTTATCTGTTTTTATGAAGTTTATCAATAATTCTCTAAATTTTAATGTGGAAATCTTGCAAATACCCACTTGCTAGTGTTTATTACACATTTACAACTTCTGTATCACAAAGTAGCCTACAGAAATTCATGACCACCAAATCAGAACCGCAAAGAACTCTCATAGGTAGCCTAGACAGAGACAAAGAAGCAGACAATGCCAAAAGATGCAATACAAAGATCCAACAGCTATCATGTAGTGAGAGCAATTAAGTAGAAGGGAAAAACAAGAGTAAAAGATAAATAATACAATGAGAGGAGTAAGTCAATACCTATCCATTTTAACTACCAATGTGAATGGACTCAATTTACCAATCAAAAGACAGATTGCTGAGTTTGATTCCCAGTACCCCCCCCCAAAAAAAAGACACAGACTGCCAGAATGGATCAAGAAACAAAATCCAATGGTATGTTATATGTAGGAAACACATTTAACACAAAAAGAAATTCACAGACTAAAACTCCAAGTATGGAAATATCCCATACAGTGGGAACCCAGAAAGAAGCAAGAGTAGCTACCCTATTTTCATGTAAAGCAGACTTTAAGCCAAAGCTGATCAAAAGAAGCAAAGAAGGATATTACACTTTGGTTAATAGAACTATTCAACAGGAAGAAATAACAATTATAAACATATATGCACCAAACCACAGTGCACCCAAGTTCATAAAAAATACTAATGAACATAAAAGAGCTGATAAACATCAGGACAATTCTAGTGGGGCTCTCAACACTCCAGCATCACAAATACATCAACAAAATAAAAAAGTCAACAAAGATACATCACAGTTGAGCTAAACCTTTAAACAAATGGACTTAAAAGATATATAGGGGCTGGGGATTTAGCTCAGCGGCAAAGCGCCTGCCTGGCAAGCGCAAGGTCGTGAGTT